TTATCACTCCTTCTATTTCTACCATCACACACATCAACCTGTCTGACTCTCTTTTCACCTCTACCACATTTCTTACATATTCTTCCTTTAGGATCACCCCTACTCCATTTCTCTTCCCATCCGAACCATGATAAAACATTTTGTAGCCTCCTCCAATGTTTCTAGCCTTACTGCCCTTCCACCTGGTCTCCTGCACACACAAAATGTCTACTCTTCTTCTCTCCATCCTATCAGCTAGTTCTCTTCTTTTCCCTATCATTGTACCTACATTCAGAGTTCTAAACTTCAGACCAACTCTTTCCTCTTTTCCCTTTTTTGTCCAAATCAATCGTCCTCCTCTTCTTCTTTGTCTTTGACCAACAGTAGCCCAATTTCCATCAGTGCCCTGTAGGTCAACAGCACTGTTGGTGGTCGTTGTTAACTTGGACCTCAACCAATCTGGTATGGAAATCATTTAAGTGATTCGCATATTTGATTTGGCTAAAAATTTAACACCAGATGCCCGTCCCGACGCAACCCTCACCATTTATCCTGGCTTGGGACCAGCACTATAGTATCACTATAGTAGCACTGGCTTGTGTACCCTAGTGTACCCTAGTGGCTGGTTTTAACCCTGCATTAAAATAATAAGAGACATTAATGTATTCTTCAGGTTATTTATTACTTGAATCTTAACAGAACAAATCGTACAGTAAGTCTTACTAATGTCTTCCTCTCTGAGAAAAACCCTTTCAACTGCTGACACTGTCGTCCTTCATATGTCAATAAACTACACATGAACTAAAGGAGGCAAACACACACCACTGGCTGACCAGGATATAGCTGCTTGTGGTCACAAAGTATTAGGTCACTAGATCAGCACATATTTTCCAGAAAGAGCATTTGTACAAAGTATTGTAATACTGGTATCGGTGCATCTCCGTTTCTCTCCCAGAATATAAACTGAAACTTAACAACAAACTTTTATGGTTTGTTGTGCGTTATTTTGAGACTACCTTGAGATTAGACTACCTTTTCGCAGCATACATCACTTGACTTTTGTTCCCATGCTTTAATCTAGGCTTCTCAGAACACGAGACCAGAGCACAGCACAGTCCTGTCGGTGTATAGTTACTTACAGTCACTTCCCCTAACCCGTGTCACACTCATACGCAGTTCGAGTTAAGGTTTCAACAAGGCTACAACAATCAGCCGTACAGTAGCTGTGTGAGGGCCAGCTGATATGGGATCATTACAGGGTCACAGAGAGGAGCTTTTCCGATGTGTCCACCGGTCATAAAAGATTAACTATAACTTTGTAGACAGAGGAAGCAATTTCTTACTGGTAAGAAGAGACAAGATATGAATAAAGTCACAATAAGAGAAAAAAAGAGTGTCAAAATACAACTGACAACAGTATTTAAATAAGTACCGTACTGAGCTCATGATTCAACACCCATTATGTTCTTATATTTATTCATATTAAATTAATTTGTTAATATAATAATATAGTTTTACTGTCAATATAAAATCATGGGGGGAAAGCACGTTTATTAAGTTGAACCTAGAAAACTTAAAGAAAACTCACTCAAAACAACTGTATCACATTGCAGCACTACATTTAGTAGCATAGTACACAGAGACTAGAGACTGTTAATTGTTTAATTGAATTATCACCTATATTATTATTATCTATAATAAGAAATGAAGCATGCAGACTTTTTCAATATTCAAACCAAATGGACGTGTGCGGGGTTTGTGTGTGTGTGTCTGTGAAGGCTCTCACCCTGGGTCTGAATGAGGTGCAGTATCTTCCCAGTGACCTGTCGAGCTGTTTCAACATCCTTGACCATAGCTTCTCCAGTCATCCTCTCCAGTTGGCCCAGAAGCATCACAATCCTTGAGTTACTTGGTACACTATAAAAATGCAGACATCAAAAAAGAAACTTATTAAAACAGTTAGAAAACTGCAAATAACATTTATTGGTTTGATTATTATTCTCCTGCAGAAAAATACAATCTGAAGTGTCACACAACACAGTGTTAGAACAGCACCTACAGAGAAAAATAAACGTTTTTCTACACATCAAAGACAATGAAAAGAGAAGAGTATTTTGACCTTTTTGAGCAAATAACTAATGTACTGATAACATTCACACTGTGCTGCAATGCACAGTGGAGCTGCAGAAAAATTCCAGCACATCTGGAAAGATGTGGCCGACCTGTTTTGGTAAATAAAGTGTAAATTAACAGCCATGATCCCCTTGAGGCAAAGCTTAGTGAGGAAGGTGGGGAGATATCTTAATGGACATAAACAAGATGCTGTTATGTCTTTTCTCAAAGAGAGGACAGGGATATTCAATTTGTTTATAAAAATACCAATTACAACTGTGGTTGCAACATTTAACACAAAGGGAATACTAAAAAATAAGATTTCCGTATGTTGGTTACGTATTTGATGCTGATTTTCTTTCCCCTCATTTAAAGTAAATTTAAAAACAATGGTTACCTTTTTTTTAATAATACTGTCAAAACGTACAGAATCAGTACAGATAAGTCTTGATGAAAAGTAAGCCTTAACAAGTAGCACTATTTCTAGCAGACAGACCGATTCTCCTCCCTTATGAACTTAGCTCAGTGGTGCATAGATGGAAATACAGGATCAGAGGTCAGCTGTTGGTACAGCAACAGCAAACTATGGTAACAGAATCAAAGGTCTGTGATTGTACCCTGTGGAACAGAATTTTTCCCATGCCCTTATACGGACATAAAATAACAAAAGAGGGAACAGATAGACAATCAAAGTTATGGAAAAAAGGAGGAAAGAATGGGGGGAAGAAAACAACTGACCAAGTGACCTAACACCCTATAAGGCACTCTGCAATAAAACACATAATGGTTAACTCAATACATTAAAATTATTGATGTTATATTTAATCTCAAAAACGTTGATATCTTCTCACTATACAGGAGAGGGAATCTCTAAATCTTGAAACACCATGGAGATCTTCCCCAGGAGAAGATGATAAACTCTAGGGCAAAATTCAGGTGCAGAGAAGGCTAAATGTTAAAATGTTAGAACAGAAGAATCTCAGCAGGAGAACCTAATGAAACAGCACATACACAGATAGTTGTGACAGAGTAGATTACCCAGAAACACGTGTGTCACATACTTGGGTTTTTTTCACTAGAAAAAAATTAACAACTTACCCTTTTTCTGTGGACATTTTAGGTTTGTTCATGTTTTTAATCAACTCAGCATTTCATATCTGCAATAAAAAATAACATTTAATCAGGTGTTTTGTTAAAACAAAAAAAGCAACAACAATGTAGACAATCGGCTCTCAAAGAAGAGCACCAGATCTAACTTCACAGATTTAAATGTAATTTCATCAAGATAAACAATATGATATCTTAGTCTGGCCATAAACACAGGATAATCAGTGGGCAGCAGCAAAAACAGCTTCCTTATCTTCACTGCATCTAAACAACTACTCATGAAAGTTCTGCACCAAGGACAACAATAACCAACTTATTTAAATATAACAACACTATATTTGATGGTATGGGAAGCAAAAAAAATGTTTTGAATGTAAAGAGAATACCTCTGCAAGACACAAGCCAATCAAAAGAATAACTAATTTAAACATGGGGGTAGGTACCAAGTGCAGTAACAGTGTCATGGGGTAACATAAGGTAACTCCAAAAGGGCAGTGTAATAGTACTATCCTATTACAATCCAAGTACTTTACAAGTACTTTACTACTGTAACCTAGAAAATTTCAACAAAAATAAAATTGGTGAGAAAAAAACAGTATTTGGCTTATTTTTTCTACCGCGCTGTGGACAGAATTTTGGTATCAAAAGTTATTTCAAAATAAAGTGTAGATTAATTGGCTGTACTGTGTCAGATTAAATGCAATTAAGGAATGTGAACTACTTGTCATTGCGACACAGCACACCACTGCACAGAAAGTCATGCAATGACAAGAAATGCTAGTCTGTTACATAAAAGAGAAAAGAAATGTATCATTTCAAGAGACAGTTGACCTTAAGTTGATAATACATTGTATCTCTTTTTTGTGATCATGAATTTGTTTGTCTTTTTGCTCTGTCATGCTTGGGACAGCATTGTTTTCTCTTCTGCTGGGTTGTTATAGTAAAAGGCTAAAGCTCCAACTATGTAGTTGTTCTACATACACACAGTGTGGTCGGCTGAGCACTTGAGGGGCATTGCCCCTGGCAGCCTATGCCTAGAACTGGCCACGGCTGAAAAAATTTAAATGGTCATAAATGACACATACTTTTGTTGACATGAGTAGCAAATAGTAACAACACCATTTTATATCAATATGTCAAAGGCTGATAGCAAAAATGCTGGCTGCTTCTATTCGTCCCAACTCAAAATAAAGCAAATGAAATTAACAATGTCAAAATGCATTTTAAGTTATTCCACTCGCGGTGGCCACTATTATTGTTTTGTGAGAGCCTGCTATCGCGATGCATTATTGAATCGATAGCTGTCTCATCCCTGGGCTGGGTCACCGTTGTCACCACCACAAAGAGCTACGTGGGTTGAAAAGTCGCTGACATCAATTGCATAATTAACTAAATATATAAATAAATCAGTTTTATTTTAGGCATCGTTTTGCCCCAGGCTTTTAACCGCTGCACCTGCTGGGCAAATACTGACGACAGCCTGTCTGCGCCAGCTGGCTAGCTAGAGAAATAATGCAGTAACATATGCACACTCGTGCTAAATAAAGGGCACCGAGGCCATAATTACAAAGTCAGCAACAACTATACATTTAAATGTTGAAGTTTTACGAACCTGTGTGGAAATAGGCTGCTGTTGCATTACGGTAGACCGTTACTCGAAGTAGGGGTCTGCTACTGTTTGTAAGAACTGCCTGAAACGCCCTAGTGCTGTTGTAGTGACTGGCAGACAGAGGGGCTGTCAGTGGAGACCGCGACAGTATATCTATGTGTGAGTGTGTTTTGGTTGCAGACTGGCTGATGACATAAGGCTCCAGAATGACCAAACTTCACAAGTATGTTCGCAAAATGATATCTAGTGTCAGTGTAATATCTGAATCGACCTATTTTGGGTTATCTACAGCTTTACGGGGTAGATGTTTCTATCATAACACAGATAAGGACTATCTTTCCCATGATGCCAACGACATGTGACGTCAGAACAATGCGCCAAGCGTTTTCATTTCCGAAAAGGGTCTTTATTAGCTATAATTCAAAATACTGAGGTAGGTGTTTACTTTAGAAAAGCGTTCTAAAGTAACGTTCCATTAATATGACAATATTTGTGTCTAGTGCAAATATTAAGTTGCGTTACCCTTATAGGTGGTGTTTTCAGGCCATTTTAAACACTGTAAACAACATTAGCTTGTTAGCACACGTTTGTACGAGCGATTTGGACGTTAGTGAGCTAACATATTATCAAGAGAAAATGTTTTAACTGTTTTTGGCATGTCACATTTTTGCAAAAAATGTTTTTTAAATATTTTTTTAACAGGACACTATGTCTTCGACTAAAGCGCTACAAGAGTTGCTTTACAAATATATGACCGACATACCAAGGGCATACCCCAAACGAAATGAATAACAAAATTAACAGATAAAAATCGAACTGTCGCCGAATTTGTGCAAAAAAAGTTTACACCCACAGCTAATAATGTAACCAATGCATTGGATACCCACAGTGCAGTTAAGAAATTCTAAGACAAGAGTTAAGCAATCGAGTTTAACAATGCAACAATGCAGTAATGATCCTGCAATGATAATAGCTAAACAAACAGCAAGTAAGAAAGGAGACATCTTTATTTATACATTTGTTTAGCCTGTTTTGTCTTGCAAAGATTGAATATCTCATGACCAAATCGTGGTAAATTTAAAGTGTACTTTTCATGTTGTTTTCATGTTCACTCTTATTGTTTAATGTTTTAAATTGTTTCACGTTCTAGTCTAGTATAAACATAACGCGTTAAATAAATGTCCACTCACCAGTAAAAACAATATTTAGACATAGCAGAAGCAAATAAATAAAATGGTTTTTCAGTCCAGCAAAAATTACAACTTGTACTATAACTGTGACTGAATAATTTCCAATACACCAAACACTTTGTTTCTTTTGCTTTAAATAGTAACCATGGTGATGAAGTCTGCAGTTGATGATGATGATACTGGCTGGGGTCTAGGCATTCCAGAAAAGATGAGGAACAGTGCCAATTGGGTTGATATTACGCAGGAATTCAAGGGTGCATGCAAAGGTAGTACTGGTTTGTGTGTATTTGTGAACATCTGTGCGTGCATGAAAAGGACAAATGAGTTTGTTCCTTTTCCCTCACCTTGTTGTCATCTTTTATTTTTGCAGAGCTGAACCTTGGGGAGTTGCTCCATGACAAACTGTGAGTAAGAAATAAGCCTTGTTGTTTCCCACTTGAATTGTTTAAGGGGGACGGTTTACTAACTTTGCAAACTAACAGGCTTCAATCCCTGAATGCAAATTTTGACCCCTGCGATGATGTAGCTCATTCTGCTTCGCAATTTCATAATAAAATTTGGCCTTTTATATTGTGATGTTGTAAATACATTTTTACAACACTTGTCGTTACTGGCTTTTTGTATACAGTTTGTCATTTTACTACATGGTTGCACTAATATTGTGTTGCTATTATTAAACTAATAGATGATTATATAAGAACTCAAGTTGTTATTTTGAGCAGATTCTTTAAGCAATTTGAGCAAGAAGAAAACATTTAATGCAATTGTGGTTTTAAACAGAAAATTTAATAGATATTTTCTAAGCATTTTATGAACCAAATTAATTTTATGCTAGTAAAAAAAGATATACCATAAAAATAATCATTAATTTTATCCCCATAATGGCTTCATGTACTTGGGTGATCCCTTCCACTCCACTGTAAATTCCTAGATGGATGAATCCATCTGCATGTAACTGGACTGATAAATTGGCTTCTTTCATAAAGATTCTTACCACTTAACCAAGAATAGGTTGAGGTTAGTATAGAAAGCAAACATTATCCCCTGATTTTGGGTCTCTTCTCTTTTTTCTCTTACTCCCATTTCCCACTGTGTGCATTTCCTCTGCATGCATTCTTGTTATCTTTCCAGTCAGAACTTTGTACCTCTGTTCAGCTGTTGGGTATTCACCATAGCCTTTTATGTAATTATTTTCCCTTTGATCTTGTTCTGTCATCAAATGTGCTTGAATACATATTCATAATATAACATAGCATTTAATACACTTTTTGGTTTGGGCCCCCATTTTGATGTCACAAATTTCTAGCGACCCCATAGATTTTTTTCAATCATGTTATTGCAGTTATCAAACAAGATGCACTAGCACAGATATCTTTTTATTAGAACTTGATTCATATTCATTAAAGTGAAAAAAAAATCAGTTGTTTTTCACAAACATCGGTGTATGCTGATGCTGAGGTCTGCCAGATTTTTACTTACCAACTTACCAACTAACTTACTTATTAACCAAGTATAAACAAGGACATTACACAGTTCTACTAACTTGTGAACCATGACTTCATGTTTTGAGACACATAATTATTTAACTATCTTAAATATATTGCTCTCTTGAAGAAGAAAACATTCCAAAACAAAGACTGCATTTTTATTTACATGTCTATAGACAGTATTTACAGCCGCAGTTGTGGGTGGTTACCCACTCTTAGACCTTTTTAAAACCTTTTTTCTTTTTTAAAGTGCAGTCCTGAATTAAAATGTCTAAAATGTATACTTTAAGTGGAAACACTGGAGCATTGAAATTCATTAAAAACTCCTGAAATAAACATGAATCTTGCAATATAACTTAATTGTATGATAATATTATGATGTCTGTTACCAGCAGACATAGATACATGTCATGTGCACAAATGCTGGCTCTCTACCATTTGAAATGGCTAAGGTAGAGATTTAAAGCAAAATATGAAGGAGCACGGTCAACCAGAGAAACTGTTCATTTATTCATATTTATTCATCTTCTTTTTCTTTCGGCTTTGTCCCTTTTTCAGGGGTTGCCACAGCGAATCGTTGATTTCCATCTCTCCCTGTTCTCTGTATCTTCTACTCTGACTCCAACTATCTGCATGTCCTCCCTCACTGTATCCATATATCTCCTCTTTGGCCTTCCTCTTTTTCTCC